TCCCCCTTGCGGCCCCCCAGATAAAAAAATTTTTCCAAAAAAAAAAAAAAAAAAGCCATAGGGGCTGGCAGGTGCTGTGGTGGTTAAGGTGCTGGACTCCCACCTGGCTGACTGCAGTTTGAGTCCCAGACCTGGCAGCTTCCTTTCTCACTCCCCCTCTCTCTTTCTTTTTCTGGTCAAATTAAAGAAAAAGAATAAATAAAATTAAATAATTCTTAAAAACCCAAAAACTGAAATTCTGCCACTTCGAACAAATCTTATAAGTGGAATTATAGAGTATTTTACTTTTTGTGACTGGTTTATTGGACTTAGCATAAGGTCCTCTAGGTGTATCCATGTTGTAGCTTATGACAGAATTTCCTTCCCGGTTCTGTTTTGTTTTAAGGCACATGTACTCAGCAGAGAGAGAGAGAGCGAGAAATCACCCTGCAGAGGGGATGGCTGCACTGCAGTCTCTTCCCCCTTCTCCTCTTGGGATTTCGAGCTCACACGTGCACTGTGTTTTCCAGCCACCGGTCCAAGACGTCAACTGTGGAGTCAGCCATGTGGGTCTGCTCTTTCACCTCCATGCCACCTACTTGGCCCCAAGGAGTCCCTTTCTTTTTAATGACTGTATTAGACTTTCCTGTGGGCCTGTATGTATTGCTTGCTTTTCTGAGATCGCCCCGTTCTTTGGTGATCTTTGACCTCCTCCTGCCACACGTAGCCCCTGCCATTTTACCACACATACTCTTCGATTTTTTTTCCAGAGGTTTTTGCCTTAAGGCACATGTGCTCACTGGAGAGAGAGCAGGACTGAGACAGTGAGAAGGCAAGTGAGAAATCACCCCTGGGGATGGACACACCACAGTCCCCTCTCCACTCCCCTCTCCTCCTAGGGTCCTGGGCATCCACTGGCGCCCAGCGGGATTTTGAAGCCACCAGGTCCAGGGCTGAACTGATGGCCACGTGGGAGTCGAGTGCCGCGAGTGCTACGTCATCTACCGGTCCCACGTACCCTTCTGTTAAGTGGTTATTTTGTCTCAGTTGTTCGCATGTCTTTCTCTCCATGAAACTCCTCAGTCTGTAGGCAGGAATCTTACCTTTTCCTCTTTCCCCGAATGTCGTAATAACGCCCGTTACGTAGAAAGCACTGTCGGAAGCACGGGGATGGACTAGGTGAGTCAGATGGCACTGGGTTGTGCATCTGTGAGGGAAGCCGTGAGAGCTCTGACGCTACATGCAACTCTACACTTGGGTTGTAGCTTTGTTTTTGTTCGGGTCTGAGGCCACATGCGCTGACCTAAGAAAGAGAAAGCACCCCGAATGGGGCATCACCGTGTCACAGCTCTTTCTCCCCATTCCACTTTGCCATTGGGACTTGGGGCATGCAGTGTGCCCAACGTGCCTCTCACGCCACCGGGGCTGGGAATCAAACTGCAGTCAGCCATGTGGGTTGACTCCCCTAACCACGGTGCTCCAGAGCCAGCCCTGTCCTGTAGCTTTGAAACTCAAGTCTGTCTATAACCTATTGCCGTCCTTTTAAAGAATTATTTATTTATTTATTCATTTATTTAAATTTGACCAGAGAAAGAGAAAGGGAGAAAGCAAGCCACCACGTCTGGGACTCGAACAGCAGTCGGCCATGTGGGAGTATCCAGCGCCTTAACCCCCACATGCTGATCCCTATAAACTCTATATTGATGAAACCATTCACGTTGGAACATGTTTGCACAGACTGACTCCCCACATCCAGTTAGAACTGCTCTGTTGAAACGCAACATCTTTCCAACTGCATCGTTGTTCTTTTGCAGCATAAGCTTGAGTGGGATTTGCAGCAGCGGGAGGAGGAGATTGCGGAACTGCAGAAGGCTCTGAGTGACATGCAGGTCTGCCTCTTCCAGGAGCGGGAACACGTTCTGCGCCTCTACTCGGAGAATGACCGGCTGAGAATCAGGTACCAAGAGAAGGGAAACGTGGGAGCTAGGACCCTAAATTATGTTTAAAAGGTAAATTTCTCTGGAGTCATTCTCTGAAGTTGCTTTCCGCAGGGTGCAGACTCAGGAGATAGATTTGCACACAGGTCGGCACTGGGGAGGCTCTCAGGAATAACAGCTGTGAGCAGCCCTGGGCAGAGGGAGGATTCGATCTGTAATCCAGTGGTAACACAGGCCTTAGCCCACCCTGCCTGGAGCTCTAAGGCGAGGCCAGTCTTTTGGAGGCAGAGGATTTGGACTTTGTACTCCCACACTGACCAGTCATTGGATACAGGCTACACCCAGGACGGGGGTTTAAGCTTAGAAGCAGAAGTCCCCTTGAGCCAAGCATAATTCCGAGAGGACTCGCTCCCGTGAGACGGGTTTCTGGTCCTGAGGGGGCATCTGAGCAGCGCACTACAGCTCCCACTCTAGTGCACGCCTGCATGTGTGTGTGCATGTGTATGTGTGGCGGGGGGGTATGCTGAAAACTATATGCAGCATAAAATGTGTTGGGCCAGTCCGTGGCCTGGTAGTTAAGGGAACCAGCTCCCACGTGGCCAACCACACAGTTCAAGTCCCAGACTAGTGGCTTGATAAACACACCAGGCACATACACACGCATGCCCACAATCTCCACTGGCTGGAGAAATGGAGAAGGGATTGTGTGATCTGCTCTTTTAGGAGGTGCTTTCTCCCTCTCTGTCGTTCTGGTCAGTGCATGCGCCCCCAGGCAAAAATAAAAGATAGGGGAGTCTGGTGGTTGGGGCCAGGTCTCACAGGGCTGATTGCACCTTCCAGATTCTGGCCCCCGTGGTGAAAGCACCCCAGGGTCATCTGGGTGCATGTCCGAAACCCTGGCAGGGTGGAGAGTGGAGATGGGGTTGCAGCATGGTGGCGCCATTAGGAGGCACTCTCCTTCCTCTGGTAAATGCATGTACCTACTGACAAAAAGAAGTCATTTTAACTTTTTTTTTTTTTTGAGAGGTTTTTTTGTTCTATACGGCACATGCGCTCACCAGAGAGACAGAAAGCGAGAAATCACCCCCCCATGGGGGATGGCCATGCCGCAGTCCCTTCTCCTCCATTCTCCTCGGGGTCTTGGGCATGCAGGCATATGCATCCGGTGTGAGTTTAAGCCACCGGGTCTGGGACTCGAACCGCTGTTGACTGACTACATGGGAGTCTAGCAACATAGCCATTACACCATGTGCTGGTCCCTAACCTTTTTTTTTTTAAATTATTTTATTTAACTTTATTTATTTATTTATTTTGAATTTGACTAGAGAGGGACAGAGTGAGAGAGAGCAAGAGAGGGGAAGTGCAAGCTTCCGGACCCGGGACTCCAACCTTGGTAAGCCGTGTGGAAGCCCAGTGCCCTCAATCATTATGCCATCTGCCGGCCCCAGAACTTTTTCATCCTCCTGAACTGTATGCTTCTTAAACAGTAACTCCCCGTTCTCCCTTTAGTCCCTGGCAGCTGCCGTTCTGCTGTCTGTCTGAGTTCTGCTCCTCTAAGTACATCACATGAGTGAGATCATGCAGTTTGTCCACACATGTTGGGCTGACCTCATTTAGCGTTACTTAGCTTAGTGCCCATGGATATGTTTTATTAAGAATTATTTCATTTAACTTTATTTATTTATTTTAATTTGACCAGAGAGGAATAGAACAAGGGGGTGAGGGGAAGGTGAGAAAGCAAGCCACCAGGTCTGGGACTTGAACCATGGCTGGCCATGTGGGAGTCCAGCGCCTTTAACCACCATGCCACCTGCTGCCCCCCCATCCCCCAAAGCCCAAATTTTTAAAAGAAAGTCTGAAACTAACTTTTTTTTTTTTTTAATAATTTTATTTAACTTTATTTATTTATTTAAATTTGACTAGAGAGGGACAGAGTGAGAGAGAGAGGGAAAGTGAGAAAGCAAGCCGCCAGGTCTGGGACTCAAACAGTGTTTGGCATGTGGGAGTCCGGTGCCCTTAACCACCACGTCACCTGCCAGCCCCGAAACTTACTTATTTTTTATTGCCGGGGGGCCGTGGTCATGCCGCAGTCTTTTTTCGTCCATCCTGTCAGGATTTGGGCATGCACGCACGTGTGCCCGGGATGTTTTTCAAGCTGCTAGCGCTGGGATTCTGACCATGCTCAGTCATGGAGGATCTGGTGCCCTATGCAGAGGGCTTAACCGCTGCAATTATGGAGCCAGCCTGCGTGTTTAAACTGGGTTGTTCTTGTTCTTGAACCTGTAGGAGTTCTTTATATATTCTGGAAATTAAACTCTTTTTTTTTTTTTGAGAGTTTTTTTTTTTTTTTGCTATAGGGTGCGTGCGCTCGCCAGACAGACAGAGACAGACAGAGATAGAAAGCGAGAAATCACCCCCCGGGAGGATGGCCACGCTGCAATCCCTTCTCCTCTATTCTCCTCTCGGGATCTTGGGCATGCACGCACACGCGCCTGGCGTGAGTTTAAGCCACCGGGTCTGGGACGCGAACCGCAGTCGTCTACATGGGAGTCCAGCGACATAGCCATTACGCCAACTGCTGGTCCCTGGAAATTAAACTCTTAACAGATAAATAATTTGCAACTCTCTCATGACAGATTGCATTTTTCACTCTTTTTTTTTTTTTTAACTTGCACTTATTCCATGAGTGAGAGAGACGACAGCGATACAACACCCCCAGTAGGGCCTCAGTTCACCTGCAGCCTGAGCCAGCCTAGGTCATGGGAGCCTAGGTCATGTGTGTCGGCCTCACTGTGTTGTCTTTTACTGCTGTGCCACATTCTGGCCCCATTTTCAGGCCTCTCATAGTATCCTTTGATGCATAGAAGTGTTGAGTTTTTTTTTGTTTTGTTTTTTTTTTTTTGGAGAGGTTTTCGCTATAGGGCGCGTGCGCTTGCCAGACAGACAGAGAGAGACATAGAGACAGAAAGCGAGAAATCACCCCCCAGGGGGGATGGTCACGCCACAATCCCTTCTCCTCCATTCTCCTCTCGGGATCTTGGGCACGCACGCACACGCGCCCGGCGTGAGTTTTAAGCCACTGGATCCAGGACGTGAACCGCGGTCGACTACGTGGGAGTCCAGCAACATAGCCATTACGCTAACTGCTGGTTCCCTAGAAGTGTTGAGTTTTTGTAAAGTTCATCTATTATTGCCTGTGCTTTTAGTATCATATCCAAGAAACCATCTCTAAATTCAGCGTTAGGAACCTTTTCTGCTGTGTTTTCTTCTAAGCATTTTATAGTTCTAGCTCTTAACAATTAGGTCTTTGATCCGTTTTTAGTTAATTTTTCTATATGATATTAGGTAAGGGTCCAACTTCATTCTTCCGTTTGTGGATACCCAGTCCCCGTATTTTTATCGAAGTCTTAGTACGTGGTTTCTTGCTGTCCCGTGGTCTGCACTCTGTCTCTGACAGGATCCGCTGCTCAGACGGTACGTGATCTCAGCTATAGGTGCGTGGTCTTGCTGCAGCTTCGCAGAGGCTGTCAGGGCTTTTGTCGAAGGGCTTGCGGTGAACTCCACGTGGCACCTGTCCCACCACAGACCCCAGAGGACCTGCCCAGCCGCGGGGCCGAGCAGCGAGCAGCTCCAAGCTCTGACCCAGTGCAGAGCCTCCTTTGAGCTTGGGTCTGCACTGGAACCTCACCTCCGTGTCACCTAATGTGTGGATCAGAGCCGTATTTCAAAGTGTAGAGTGCGTCGTCTGTAGACCCGGGAGTCACTCCTGTTATTGTGCTTTCTTTTTTTTTTTTTTTCTTTTTACAAGAGGTCATATGCTCTAGCTAGAGACAGAAAGAGAAAGCTAGAGGGAGGGGAGAAAGCACCCCGCCATGGGACATAGTCACACTGCAGTCCCTTCTCATCTGTTTCTCCATCCCTTTGGGATTTGGGGCACGCATGCACACATGCTGAGAGTGTTTTTCTAAGGCTCCAGAGCCAGGGTTGAACTGCATTTGGCCTTGTGGGATCGGCTCTCTGAGCGCTGGTTTCCAGGGCCGGCCCCTAAGCCTCTTCCTGATGGTGCAGTAATTCGGCCTTTGCTTTCAGGAGATGCCCTGGCATCCTAGCGTGGCCCCGCCGCAGCTTGATTGTCGTGCTTTGAGGGTTTCTCTCTAGCCCTGCCTCCCCAGGGTTCCGGTGTGCTTGCTGCCGCGTGTCCGTGCGGTTTGTCCCCCCAGTGTCACGCGTAGTGGGCTCCTGTGATTGTGGGGTCCAGATCCAACCCTTTGATAGTTATAGACCGGCAGAGCACGGATGTCTGTGTGGCCCTGCAGGAGGCTACGCCTGTGCTGTTGGAGTGCTGCCTCTGCTCCTTTACGGGACGGAGGGGAGTACCTGCCGCATCCGTGGCCGCTTACCGCGTACCTGAGACCACGTGACTCACTCTAGCAGAGAGGCCCCCTCTGGCAGGGGCTGACCTGGACCTGCTGGGTAGTAGCCAGCTGCTGCTCTCTAGAACCCTTCTGGTCTCGTATCGGCCGTACTGGGAACTGAACGAGGATTGGACAGTGACCGCCACTCTGCACCCCTGCGCCCTTTATTCACCGTCCTGACCGAGCAAGGAGAGGCCATTTCACAGCTGCCGCTTGGCTTACGCAGGAGCCAAGAAACAGTTTGGAGGTTTTGCCAGCCGCCAAGCTGTCCATGCTGCTGGCACGCCTGGAGCTGGGAAATGGTCTTGCTCGGGTCTGTGGGTCCAGCTCACCAGCTCGAGAGCCCATTGACTGCCTGTCCCTGCGCCCTGCGGCCGTCCAGCCAGCTCAGACCCTTCAGGCAGTGCGTACGCCTGCGCGGCTTCCCAGAGGGTGTCGGTGCTTGAGTAAACGGCCGCAGGCTTGTTGGGAAGGGCCCGGGAGTCCTTCCCACGCCTCTCGCGGTGATGTCGCTGGGTCTTCCTGATGGCGGTGCCAGTCTCTCTCCTGGTAACGGTCTCCGGGGCTTAACTCGCTTGGGCCCAGAAAATGGGTCAGAGATGGGGATTTTGTAGGAGGTGCAGCGCTGAGCACCTCCTCCACCTTTCATTTATCCTGGCTGGTTGAGCTGTGCCTCATTGACTGCCCATCTGTCTTGCTCTGGAACACTGTGCTCTGTAAACCATCTCCAGATCACTGGCTCTGAAATCCCTTTTCAGAGTTTGCTTCCTCGCTCCAGCCCTGATCCTAGCTGTCTTCAGTTGGATTCCCTGGGAAACAGACCGTACATGGGGGATTTGCTTGCAGGGGTTTTGCTGGGGAGTGTTCTGAGGAATAACCGTCTGGGAAAATAAGGAAAGCCTGACCGGGCAGGGTGAGATCTTAACCCGCGGTTCTGTTACAGCAGGCCTCAGCCAACCACAGGGGACCCCGTGCTGGCGTGGCCCTTCAGAGAGACCCCGAGCTGAGGTGAGGGTTTCCGTGCCTCCTCACTGAGCGGGCACAGGCTGCAGCCAGCACAGCAGCAGCTGCAGAGTCGTGGGAGGCATGAACCTGGGCAGGCCAGTTCCCTTCAGCAGTTCTGGGCAGATCCTCCTCTCTGAGCCGTCCCTCAGCAACAGCGCTCCTGAAGTGGAGGATCTGGGCCAGCCACCCTGGCACCCCACAGTCCCTTCTAGACCAGCTAGGAAATTATGTCCTGGCCCCTTTCCTCTAGATTCCTAAATGGAAGTACCTGATGTTTTAAAAATTAGGGCTGGGGCCAGCAGGTGGCATGGTGGTTAACATGCTGGACTCCCACATGGTCAACTGCAGTTTAAATCCCAGATCTGGGGACTTGAAACGCACACTGGGTACGTGTGCATGCATGCCCAAAATCCTAGGAGGAGAAAGGATTGTGGGGTGGCCATCTCCCTGGGAGGCGATTTCTCACTTTCCCCCTTACTGTCTCTCTCTGGCAAGTATACATGCACTATGACAAAAACCTCAAAAAAAAAAAAAATTAGGGCTAAGGTCTATTTGATTTAATTTGAAGTCACTACTGCTTTAGGAATGAGGCAGAAAGGAAAGCCTTGGAGCAGAAGAGGGTACTTCTTAGGACGCCTAACGTGTGCTTACTTTCTGTGAGAATTGCAGGGAGCTAGAAGACAAGAAAAAAATTCAGAATCTCCTGGCTCTGGTGGGAACGGACACCGGAGAAGTGACCTATTTTTATAAGGAGCCTCCCCACAAAGTAAGTAATCTTTGGTCCAGCATGGTGAGTGTGGCTTTTATGACATCAGGCCGGAGGCCACAGTGAGAACTGTTCGGTATTTGCTAAAGAGGGCAAATGGAGAATTACTTCCTGATCTCATGTTGAACCCGTTTTAAAAGCAGTTTCCTTCCAAAACCTTGGGAAATAGCATTGCTTACCCCATTTCAGCATTTAAAAAGCTGAAGCAAAAATGGGCAAATACTTTAGTTGAAATTAGAGGGGAAAGCAGAGCAGACTGTGTGTGGGAGAAGGTCAGTATTCAAGTTTCTTTTTTCATGTTTATGCTGATTACAAACATAATATGTGGTTTCTATTAAAAACGAACAGATGGGGGACTAGGAGATGCAATAGTTATGTCACTGGATTCCCATATGGGAGATGGCGGTATGAGTCCTGAACCGAGCACCTTGAAACTCATACCGGGCGCGTGGTCATGCCTGCCCAAAATCCTGAGAGGAGAATGGAGAAGAAGGGATTGTGGCATGGCCATCCCCCCAGGGAAGGTGTGTATGTGTGTGATATCTCACTTTCTGTTTTTCTGTCTCTGGTGAGCACACAAGCCCTATAGCAAACAAACAAACAAGCAAAAACGTAGGATCAGCAGGTGGCACGGTGGTTCAGGCACTGGATTCCCGCAGTGTGTGCATGTCCAAAATCCCGAGAGAAGAATGAGGAGAAGGGACTGTAGTGTGGCCATTCCCTCTTGGAGGGTGATTTCTCACTTTCCTTCTCTGTTTTTGGCTAGTGCACACACTCTATGGCAAAATCCTTTAAAAAAAAAAAAAAAAGATAAAAGAAAAAAAAAGAGATAGTACAGAAATCTATCAAATAAAAGTGACTTTTTCAGGGCCAGCAGGTGGCATGGTGGTTGGGGTATTAGACTCCTACATGGCCGAGCATGGGTGAAATCCTGGATCTGGAGACTTGCTTTCTCTGTCTGTCTGTCTCTGTCTCTTGCTCTCTCTGTCTCCTTGGTAAGTAAGTACATGTGCCCTGTAGCATACAAATTGAAGAACAATGATAAATAAAATGAAATAAATAGTTAACGTTTTTTAAATAAAGCAGCAGTCTCCCATCGTCCTACCCCCGGAGTTACGTTCTTGTTCACTGTTTGGTGTCAGTACTTCTGCTCTTCTCAAGCACACATTACCGAGTCACCCTGTCACTGTGTGCTTGGCGCCTGTCATCAGCACCAGGTGTTCTCCGTTTGTTGCTGTGCCCGGGTGGTCTCTCATATATATGACATCCCTGTGCGAGTACATCGGGGTTTTGTTTTTTGTTTTTTTTGAGAGGTTTTTGCTACAGGGCACGTGCACTCACCAGAAAGATAGAGACAGAGAGACAAAGAGAAAGCAAGAAATCCCCCGGGGGAAGGCCACGCCGCAATCCCTTCTCCTCCATTCTCCTCTCGGGATCTTGGGCACACACGCACACACGCCCAGCGTGAGTTTAAGCCACCAGGTCCGGGACTCGAGCCGCGGTCGACTGAGTGGGAGTCCAGTGACATGGCCATTACGCCAACTGCTGGTCCCAAGGACATCCGTTTTGAACCATTTAACTTGTAGATAGTGTACGCTCTGCAGGGCTACGGCTAAAAAGTAAGTACTACGTTTGTAGGAAGGCTTCTCCTATACTTTTTTTTTGCCTCATCAGGTCAGCATTCTCCAGAAGACTGCCCCGGCTGTAGGAATATGTGAACAGAACGAATCTTCCGCTTTCAAAGCAGGTAACAACCGTTTTAGAAATTCTCACTGATACAGAATTTAAAATCACAGTGCAAATAATTTGAAATTTTTTTGCCTACAATATAGTGATAATTCGTGTTCATAACAATGCCTCTGGTGGTTTAAAGGTCTTACTGGGCTTCTAGAACCATCCTAGGAATGAAGCTTTGCCCACTTTAATTTGTAGTGAGGCGTATTTGTTTATAAGGTTTTGGCCATAGGGCGAGTGTGCTCACAGAGACAAACAGTGAAAGGAAGAGTGAGAAATCACCCCTCAAGGGGATGGCCACCCCGCAGGCTCCTGGGACTTTGAATATGATCTCCAAGCTCCCTGTATGGGACTTGTACCATGGGCGGCCATGTGAGCGTCCAGCATATTAACCACCACGCCACCTGCTGGCCCCAGTGTTGCTTTTTTTTTTTTTTTTTTTAAAGAATTAATGTATATATTTAAAATTTTTGTTATAGGGCACAGGTACTCACCAGAGAAAAAGCTGAGAAAATAAGCCCCCAGGTCTGGGACTCAGACCGTGGTCAGCCATGTGGGAGTCCAGTGCCTTAACCACCACGCCACCTGCAGACCCCAGTGTTGTGTAAACTAAACTTGTCAGGCTAGCAGGTGGCGTGGGGCTAAGGTGCTGGATCCCACATGACTGACTGCATGGTTTGGGTCCTGGACCCAGCGCCTTAAGAAAAACACCAGGTGTGTGTGCACGCATGCTCAAAATCCTGAGAATGGAGGCAAAGGATTGCGGCGTGACCGTCCTCCCCAGGGCATGATTTCTCACTCTCCCTCTTTGTCTCCCTGTCTCCCTCTGTGGAATGCACACACCCGATAGCAAAAAACTTAAAAAAATAAATTTTTGACTGGCTGCATGGCATAGCAGAAGCAGATCACCCAAGAACTTAGTTCCCGTATGGTGACCAGAGGTCCAGTCCCCAGTCGTTTGCCTGAACCTCCAGGCACTTGCCCATGTGCTTAAGATCAAGTGGATTGGGGCTGGCATGTGGCGTGGTGGTTAGGACAGTGGGCTCCCACATGGCTGACCGCAGTTTGAGTCCCGGACCTGGTGGTTTGCTCTCTCACTTTCCCTCTCTCTACTCAATCAGACTAAAATAATGATGAATAAAAAAGTAATAAAAGATCGAGGACTAGAAGAGAATTGTGGTATGGCCGGACCCTGTGGTGGTGCCTCTCTCTCTTTCTCTGTCTTGTGTATATGTACTCTATCGTTAGTAGGGGGAAAGTTTTAAAAGAAAAATAGAGGGGCCGGCAGGTCACGTAATGGTTAAGGGCACTGGGCCTCCCAGAGGGTGCAAGTCCTGGGCTCTGGAGGCTGCTTTCTCTCTCTCTCTCTCTCTCTCTCTCTCTCTCTCTCTCTCTCGTCGAATTTTAAAAAATAAATAAAGTTAAACAAAATAATTCTTTAAGAATAATAGAATCTGTTAAAGTAGCCTTGGTTTTTGAAAATCGTGTGTTACAGTGTAACAGAAATGTTTCCATGTATGCCTAAAATCCCAAGAGAATGGTAGAGGAGGGGCTGCAGCATTGCCGTTCTCCCTGAGTGGTGGTGGGTGCTTTCTCTCTCTCCAGCAAGCACACGTGCCCTATGGAAATATTTTTAAAGGTTTAAGTTTTTATTTAGTTAGTTAGCTAGTCAGTCAGTCCGTCCGTCCATTCTCCTCTCGGGAGATGCACACACAGACCCTCAGTGTGTTTTTCAGACCACCAGGTTTGGGACTCAAACTGCAGTGTCGGCCAGGCAGGTTCTAGCACCTTAACCACCACACTTCTTGCTGGCCCCAAGTTTAGTTTTTCTTATTCCTTATCCATCTCTAATTAAATAAGGTTTTATTAAGAAAACAGACACAGCTCCAAAGGAAAGGAGTAATCAGTTCTGCCGAAAGGTAAATGTGATTGTCCTGCTGTCATCCTGCAGAATTTCCTCGTAGATTCCTGTTTTACAAATCAAATACGGGACCAGCAGTTGGCGTAATGGCTGTGTTGCTGGACTCCCATGTAGTCGACTGTGGTTCGAGTCCCGGACCCAGTGGCTTAAACTCAGCGCTGGGCACGTGTGCGTGCGTGCCCAAGATCCCGAGGGGAGAATGGAGGAGAAGGGACTGCAGCATGGCCATTTCCCTGGGGGGATGATTTCTCGCTTTCTGTCTTTCTCGGTCTTTCTGGCAAGCGTGTGCACCCTATAGCAAAAACCTCTCAAAAATAAATAAAATACTAGTTATGTTTTCCTTTTCCTTCCTTTCCTTCAAATTATTAGTTACTGAAACTTGTCTGCAGAAGTAATACTGTTATTGGAAAAACACAAAGAAAGGTTGAATAAAGTCTTCTCGAATTTTGGCTTTCTATTTTAGATCCTAAAGTAAGCAAAAGAAAACCAGCATTGAAAGAGAGAGAAGAAGGTTCTGAGAATTACCAAAGAGACGTCCAGACACTCGTCCTGCAGGTAAAGTGTTTACTCTGCCAGACCGAGATGCTGTGTACCCATGAGTTTAGTTTTGTGTAACGCACCCTGCACCCTCGGTGTCAAACCATAGGTATCTCCTTGTGTGCAGGTTATAGCTGGCCATCACGTGATAGAATTTAGGGTCTTCCTGATTTCTTAGAACTTACATCTTCTTTTCTTTTTCTTTTTTTCATAATGTTTTTACCACTGGGTGTGTGCTCTTGCCAGAGACAGAAAGAACGTGAGAAACCAGCCCCGAGGGGTGATGGCTGTGCTGGGGTGATGGCTTGAAAACCATGTCTGTGCATGTACAGAATTCTGTGCATGTATTTCACTTAATTTTATTTGCTTATTTATTTTAATTTGAGGGACAGTAGCTAGAAAGAGAGAGCGAGGCAGAAAGTGAGAAAGCAACCTGCCAGGTCCAGAATTCTGTACATGCGCACACACGTGGTTTTCAAGTCACTAGAACGAGGACTCTCACCATGTTGGACCATGTGGGGCTGAGCACTTTTAACACCACACCATGTGCTGGCCCCCAAGAGTGTATATTTTCAAACCACTACTCTTTATTTGAACATTGTAGAAGTGTTTTCCCAAGCCTTCAGTTCATGTGCTAAGCCTGCCCAAGAAAGCCGTCACAAACAACAGCTCACTTGGGGACTGGCCGATGGGACACTCACAGTTGCAGAGGAAGACCGGTCTGTGCTGATGAGTCGACGTTTGGAGTGTATCCATGTATTTATTACGTAGTTTCTGAAGTCTAAGAAAGTACTAACTTATTCTCTTACACCTGGACATGTATGGGGGTGCAGTCTTCAGAAGTTCTTGGAAATAGATTTCAAAAATTTTTCTCACCAAAGTAAACTTGTACTTTGATTCCATTTTTCTGTGAGATTTTTGAAGTGCCCTTATTTTTCATTTGAAAAATAATTATTTCACTTAACTTTATTTACTTATTTATTTTAATTTGAGGGACAGAGTGAAAAAGAGAAAGAGAGATGCAGAAAGTGAGAAAGCAAGCCACCAGGTCCAGTACTCGAACCATGGTCGGCCATGCGGGAGTCCAGCGCCCTTAACCACCACGCCATCTGCTGGCCCCCAAACCATTATTTCTTTTGAAGGAATGATTTCACTTAATTGTATTTATTATTGTTATTTTTTAATTTGAACAGGGAGAGAGGGTGGGAAAGTGAGAAAGCAAGCCGTAGATCTGGTATTCAAACTGCAGTCGACCCTGTGGGAGTCCAGTGCCTAAACCACCGTGCCACCTGCCAACCTTGGAACCATGCTTTTTTTTTTTTTTTTTTTAATCCAGTTGCACTAAATTTCCTGTCCTTGTTGGGGTAGGAGTCCACTGATTTAAATGACAGTTTCTCCCTTTGGCATCATGACCCCAGACTTAAGGCAGGACCTTTCACTGTATTCACTGTGCTCTGCCTTTTGAAACCAAAATCCACGAGGGTCATTCCATTTATTTGCAGTCAGGGTGTCTTCAAGGGCAGCTAGACCTAAAGTCCAAAAAGAAGACAGGGAACGGCGCATCACAGAATAGGAGACGGGTTTTCTGGTGTGCCTCGTGTGTGCGGAACGAGTCTGCCCTCCGAGCCTGAGCCTGAGCCTGTGTGTGACATTAGGTAGTGAAAATGGACTTGAGACTTTCCTTCCTTCGTTTTTTTAAAGAATTATTTATTTGGGGGGTCAGCAGGTGGCATGATGGTTGGGGCACTGGACTTCCACATGGCTGACCATGGTTTGAATCCTGGATCTGGCAGCTTGCTTTCTCTCTCTCTTTCTCTCTCTGTCCATCTGTCTCTGGTGAGCACACATGCCCATAGCAAATTTAAAATAATAATACTAGTAATAAATAATTAATTTTTAAAAAGAATTATTTATTTAATTTTATTTATTTATTCAATTATTTTCGTTTGACCAAAGAAAGACGCACAGAGAGAAGGAAACTGAGAAAGCAAGCCACCAGGCCCAGGACTCAAACCATGGTCAGCCGTGGGGGAGTGTCCAAGGCCTTACCCACCACATCACCTGCTGGCCCTCATTCATTTGTTTTAATTTGTCCAGAGAGAGAAAGTAAGAAAGCAAGCCGCCAGGTCTGGGACTTGAACTGTGGTCAGCTATGTGGGAGTCCAGCATCTTAACCACCATGCCCACCTGTTGGTCCACAGTTGAGATTTTTCTACTGTTTGTTTGCCATGGTGGTATTTTGTTTTGCTTTAAATTCTCCTACAAAAAGGCCACTTGAGGGACCTGAAGTCTGTGGACTTTGCTGGCCCCTGTAGGTGGAAGCACTGCAGGCCCAGCTGGGAGAGCAGACCAGGCTGTCCCGAGAACAGGTGGAAGGGCTCATGGAGGACAGACGGATCCGCATCGAGGAGATCCAGGCTCAGCACGAGCGAAATCAGGACAAGATCAAAGAGCTCATCCAGAGGTGGGTGTGGAGGAGAGTGTGCTGGCTGGCTGCAAAGCTGTCATTCTAGACTTGAGCAGCACGGGGCTGAGAACTGAGGGACCTCGAGCACGCTGCCTCCAAGCAGGCGAGTGTCTGGGCTTTTCCGGGCGTACTGTTACGTGTCGTCTGGAAAACCTGGTGCCTGTCGGGACCTGGGCATATTCACACACCCAGCGTGGTTTGCAAGCCCCTGGGGCTGGGATTCAAACTGTGCAGTCCACCGTGTGGGACCTGACTCCCTCAACACCAGGCCGTGGGCCAGCCCGAGAGATGGTCTTTCGCCTACTGATGCTCTCTGACCCAGTGCAGGGGGCCCTGTTCCTTCGTTGGCCCTTCACAGTACGGAAAAGAATGCGACGTCTCCCCTGCCAGGACGACGCCAGCGCTGTACACCGGGCGGGTTTCGTTCCTCGCCCTGCTGCTCCTTTCTGCATCTCAGCTTCATTACCCGCTTCCTGCCATAGCCAGTCTAAGGTCATTACTGATTCCTTTTTTAAAGAATTGCTCATTTAATTTTTATTTATCCTTACTACTATTTTAAAATTTGCTACAGGGCATGCACTCCACGAAAGAGACAGAGAGGGAAACTGAGCAAGCAAGGCCCGTAACTGGAACCATGGTCAGCCACGTGGGAGCCCAGTGCCCTAACCACTACGCCATCATTCATTATTGATTTCTTAGTTTCAAAAGCTAGTTGCCGCTCTTCATCCTTGCTGAAATTAGAGTCTCTGCGTGCCTGGCATCACCGACCTGCCCCCTTTAAGCTCATCTCCCTCGACTTCTGCAGTCCTGTCTGTCTGCATTCCCGGCCTGGCTAACCGTCCTCAGCCTTTCCTTCTCTCCCAGGCCAGGTCTGTGCTGTGAGGACGGCCTCGGTTGAGTATGTTTGAGTTCAAAGTTACCATTATGACACCAATTTGTTTTGTTTTTAAGAATTATTTAATTTTGGGAACCAGCAGTTAGCGTAATGGCTATGTTGCTGGACTCCCACGTAGTCGACCGCGGTTCATGTCCCGGACCCGGTGGCTTAAAACTCACGCTGGGCGCATGTGCGTGTGTGCCCAAGATCCCGAGAGGAGAAGGGAGGAGAAGGGATTGCGGCATGACCATCCCCCCTGGGGGGTGATTTCTCGCTTTCTGTCTCTATGTCTGTCTCTGTCTGTCTGGTGAGCACATGCGCCCTACAGTGAAAATCTCTCTCAAAAAAAAAAAAAGAATTATTTAATTTTACTTATTATTATTTTTAAAATTTGTCCAGAGAAAGGTAAAGAAAGCAAGCTGTCAGGTCTGGGACTTGAACCGTAATTGGCCATGTGGGAGCCCAGTACCTTGTGCTTGTCTCAGCACGAAACTGTTAACCTCTCCCCTCGCCCCTTCACACCTGTGCTTTCATTCTGCCCTGTTCAGTTTCACGGCATAACGGCAGCTAGTTTGCCAGGCTGAACCTCCAGGCCAGCCCCAGCTCCGAGCCGTCTTCTCTGTAATGGAAACCCTCGGGGTGGGGAGCCGGGGAGCCTCTCAGACCCAGGCTCTGCGCTCTCTTCCTGCGTTGAGCCAGGCCCTGTTCTTTTGTTTAAACTGTGGCAATACTCTAACCGTTCTCTATCCCCTATCCCCGGGGCCTTTGCCTTCTGCAGTTTTCTCTGTGCTGTGACTTACTGTAAGTCTTCCATTAGAAGTTACCAGCTGCTTAAAAACATTTACTAGCGCTCTGTTTACGTTCTGGTTAATCCCCGACACTTCAGCGTGATTTATCAGGACCTTTGTCATCCGATGCCAGCTTGGCCCAGGAACTTTGTCATCCGATGCCAGCTTGACCGTCAGCCTCAGCCCCTTGTGCTTCAGCCAGACTAGCCGCAGCTGTCGTGTGTGGGATGCCTAGTGTGTCAGGAACCTCACCAGTGCTGTCACCCTTGCCCTGAAGACTTCCCCAGGTGCCCTAAGTCCTCCCTCCCCCATTGTCCCATAATGATTAGCACCCTCTGTGAGGACACTTGTCGTCACACGCTGTGACCGTGTCTTTTTTTCCTTCATGGGAGGGGGTGGGGCGGGGAGATAGTGAGAGGGAAAATGAGAAGTCACGCCCCAGGAAGGATGCCCACGCCGCAATCCCTTCTCCATTTTCCTCTTGGGATCTTGGGCATACACGCACACATGTCTGAACTAAGTTTCCAGCTACTGGGTATAGGACTTGAACCGCTGTTGGCTCTCTGAGAGTCCAGCAATATAACCGCTTCACCATCTGCTCGTCCCATCTTCCTCCATTTTAAACTGTGGAGATTAAAATTAGACATGATGCTGGGACCAGCAGGTGACATGGTGGGTAAGGCCGTGATTCCCTCGTGGTCAACCAGTGTTTGAGTCCCAGACCCAGCAATTTCAAAATCACCAGGGTGTGTGTATGTGTGTGTATGTGCGTGTGCCCAAGACCCTGAGAGGAGAATGAAGAGGAGGGATTGTGGGATTGTGGTGTGGCCAAGCCCCCTAGGAGGTGATTTTTCACTTTCCTTCCCTCTGTCTCTCTTGAATACACATGCCTTATGGCAAAAATCTAAAAAAAAAAAAATTGACATGGTGCTTATATTGGGATTGCTAATAACATAACTCTTTTAACATAGTATATGTTTCTGCATAATTCTTCATCGTTATTCCTTATTTGTTTTTCTACTCAAAATATCATCTTTTGGGTTTTCACTGAGTTTGTTCTTTGTTTTGTTTTGCTTTTAGGAGAGACATGTTTGTTTTGGGGTGTGTGTGCTCGTCAGAGAGACAGAGGAAAGGCCAGGCATCACCCCGGGGCGGTGGCCATGCTACAGTCCCTTCTCCCCCATTTTCCTCCTGGGGTTTTGGGCACACACCCACGTGCATCCCGGTATGAGTTTCAAGCTCTCAGGTGCAGGACTCGAACTGCTGTCGGCCATGTCGGGGCACAGTGTCTTAACCACTGTGCCACTGGCCCTTTTCATTGAGTTTTAATTGTTTTTCAGAGACCAATATTTTTAAATTGTCACGGTAACTGATTTTGTGTCTGCTTTCCAGAACATTAATAACTATGCTAGTTTAGGGTCTGCATATCTGGACACGTGATCAGTTCCTCCTGTTAGCTGGATCATCCTAAGGCTATTGTTTTTATAAAGAATTATTTATTTAACTTGGGACCAGCAGTTAGCATAATGGCTATGTCACTGGACTCCCACTTAGTCGACCACAGTTCGCGTCCCGGACCCAGTGGCTTAAAACTCACGCCGGGCGCGTGTGCGTGCGTGCCCAAGATCCCGAGAGGAGAATGGAGGAGAAGGGACTGCGCGTGACCATCCCCCGGGGGGTGATTTCTTGCTTTCTGTCTCTCTTTCACTCTCTGTCTTTCTGGCGAACGCATGCACCCTATAGCAAAAACCTCTCCAAAAAAAGATAAAGGAAGTATTTATTTAACTTTATTTATTTATTTTTTTAAAAGAATTATTTAATTTTGGAGCCAGTAGGTGGCGTGGTAGTAAAGGACGCTGAACTCCCACGTGGCTGACCGCGGTTCGAGCCTCGGACCTAGCGATTCTCTCCCTGTCTATTTTCCTCTTCCTCTCTGACAAAATTAAAACTAACTAAATAAATAAAGTTAAATAAAATAATTCTTTTAAAAAAAGAATTATTTAATTTTATTCATCATCTTTTTTTTTTTAATTTGACTAGAGAGAAACAGAGAGAGAGAGAAAGTGAGAAAGGTTACGTGGGAGTCCAGCACCTCAACCACCATGCCACTGCCAGCCCCCATTCATTTATTTTTAATTTGACCAGAGAGAGACACAGAGAGAGGTGAGAAGGCAAGCCACTAGGTCCAGGACTCGAACCATGGTCGGCCACGTGGGAGTGGAGTGTCCAGCGCCCTAACCACCACACCACCCGCTGGTCCCCCATCCTAAGGCTATTAATGACTGCCCTTTGGTGCCCCTTTTGGATCGTTTGTACGTTGACTGTACTGTGCGTTCCCAGTTTGTGGGTGAGTGCAATGTAAGAGTGAATGAACCGGCTCACTGAGGGCAGGAAGTACTGGATCAGCCTCTCCCTCATGCATGTGTGCACACGCACCTGAGTAAGTTTGTGTATGCACCTGGCACGCTCACTTTGCTTTCTGCCCGGCTGTGCTATCGTTTTCTTATCTGTGTACCCTGCAGCCCAGGAGCAGAACTAAGTGGTTCTGACGTCACATGTGGAGGGGAAAACTACAGAGGTTGCCTCATGGTATTTAATACTGTTGGAAACTGGTCACTCAGTGTAGTATTTTCCTAGGTGTTGATGTTAAACTGATGAGTTGCTGACTTCAGGGATATAATTTTTTAAAGATATAAACATTAGTTGTCTATTTGTTTTTGTTCGTTTTGTGTTTTTGTTAGAGGGCACATGCGCTTGTTAGAGAGAGAGAAGGAAAATGAGAAATAACCCTGCACGGGTGTGGCCTCTCTGTAGCCCTCCTCTGCTCTCCTCTTGGGCTTTTGGGTACACACGCACACATGCAGGCATGTTTTTCATGCATCCAGGTCCACGACTCAAACCACGAAGTTGGCCTTGTGGAATCCAGCAGCCTTAATCAGCATACCACGTGCTGCTGGCCCCATTCATGTGTGTTTTTTTTTTAAAGAATTATTTTATTTAACTTTATTTATTTATTTATTTATTTATTTATTTATTTATTTATTTATTTTAATTTGACTGGAAAGGGACAGAGCGAGAGAGAGAGAGAGTGTGTGTGTGTGTGTGTGTGTGTGTGTGTGTGTGAGAGAGAGAGAGAGAGAAAGAGAGAGAGAGCAAGTTGCCAGGTCTAGGACTCCAGCCTCGGTTGGCCATGTGGGAATCTGGCATCCCTAACCACCATGCCATCTGTTGGCCCCATATATATATATTTTTTAAAATTATTATTCATTTAATTATATTGTTTATTATTTAAAAATTTGTTGTAAGGCATGTGTGCTCACCGTAGAGGGGGAAAGTGAGAAAGCAAGGTCTTCCAGGTCCAGGGCTCAGATTGCACTCGGCCGTGTGGGAGTCCAGCCCCTTGACCACCATGCTACCTCCGCCCCCATTCGTATATTCCTAAATCTGAAGAAATGCTTAGTGCCTTGTGCACGGTTAGTAGTTGGTACCATCCTTGACAGGACAAAGAAAACACGCATGTTGATAATAAGTGATATGGGGAGCCACACATGTTGATAATAAGTGATAGGGGGAGCCACGCATGTTGATAATAAGTGATAGGGGGAGCCACGCATGTTGACAATAAGTGATATGGGGAGCCACGCATGTTGACAATAAGTGATAGGGGGAACACACATGTTGATAATAAGTGATGGGGGAGCCACGCATGTTGATAATAAGTGATGGGGGAGCCACGCATGTTGATAATAAGTGATGGGGGAG